GCTTATTGTAAAAACATCGATGTCCATTTCTTCATTAGTTGGCTCTTCCACAGGGTTTCTGCTCAGTGCATCAACGTGTGACATTCGAGGACCTGGCCTATATTCAACCTTAAAATTAAATTCTAAGGTAACTAACCACCAACGTGCTATTCTAGGAATCAAATCCTTCTTTGAAAAAGTACTTCGCACGGAACTGCAGTCAGTAATTACTTTGAACTCAAGGCCTAACAAGTAAATTCGGAATCTCTGTAGACAACTCACGACAGCCAATGTTTCTAGCTCATAAGAGTGGTATCGTTGCTCTTCTTTGCTGGTTTGTCGACTGAAATATTGAACAGGAGTTAACTTTCCATTCTTTTGTTTCTGAAGAAGAATTCCTCCTATTCCCAATTTTGATGCATCTGTATGCAGCTCTGTTTCTAATTCTGGGTCATAAATAGTCAATACTGGTCTCGTACATAAAATATGTTTAAGTTGTTGAAATGATTTCTGTTGTTCATCTCCCCATTTAAACTCTTGATTTTTTCTTGTCAGCATTGTTAAAGGTCTTGCAACTTGGGCAAAATTTTTGACAAACTTTCGGAAGTAACTAGCTAACCCTATAAACTGTCGTACTTCGTGAGGATTTTTCGGTGTTCTGAATTTCTCTACTGCTATAATCTTTGCTTTTCCAGGCCTTATGCCCTCTGAAGAAATCTCATGGCCTAAATATTCTAAGTTTCGTCTGAAATAATAGCATTTATTTGGTCTTAGCGTAATTCCTGCATCTTGAAAAACTTTTAGTATTGTTTCTAAGGCTTCATATCCCTTTTCAAAGGTTGATGATGGCAACAAAATATCATCCATATAAGCCAAAGCAGTTGTGAAACGTAATGAGCCTAAAATTTGGTTAATACTGCGTTGAAATACTGCAGGAGCATTGGCTAACCCAAAAGGCATTCTTAGGTATTCGTAATGTCCATCAGGAGTGACGAATGCTGTCTTGGCGATAGATTCTTTGGACATGGGTATTTGATGGTACCCCGAAGCCATATCTAGTGTTGTAAAATACTTGCTACCCTTTAAACGTTCCAGACAGTCCTCGATTCTTGGTAAGGGGTAACAGTCCTTGATTGTTTTCGCATTTAATGCCCTATAGTCTACGCACATTCTTGTTTCACCTGTTTTCTTCTTTACTAAAATAATGGGACTAGCATATGGGGAAAATGATTCTTGGATTATATGGTTATCTAATAAATCTCGTATTATTTCGCGCACTTTTTCCCTTTCTAAGAATGACAAACGATATGGCCTATACGTTACAGGTTTTGAATCTGATAAAGTGATTTCCATTTTGTTATTATGTATACAACCCAATTCACTTATGTCTTGGGCAAAACAATCGCGATATTTATTAAGAAGGTCGAGAAGACGTTTCTTCTCTGTTTCGTTCAAGGTAAGATCACAATTGATGTCAGACATTAATAGTGGCTTAGATAATTTTACATTAACTTTTAGAACACTTACCCCTTTGGGTGAGGTCTCAGGAACACATGGAAGTCCTCTTGCTATCGTATCCATCACCTTAAACTGCAAAGGGTTGTTGGATATATTTAATATGGGCAAAATACCAGCTGTAGTCGAGGCGACACATCGCGGCACTACGTATTCATTACGTGGCTTTTGTCGTGCGTGGAAGTCTATAAATAAATCACCATTATAGTCACTTGCGGTACTAAACTTTACATGTCCAATATTGTTAGGCGGAATAACCACATCTTCACTAACACTCATCTTTATTTTTGATGGTGGTAACTGATCAACTTCAGGTAGGTCCAACATTTGTGAGCTGAACAGTCTAATCTGATCTCCTTTCACAACCAAAACAACGTTTGTTTTGTTAATGAACGGTTGACCAATCATCACAGCTACCTCTTGAAGCTCATCTGGCACAATCAATGCAGACACTATGGCATCAGCTAAATCAACTTCTAATTTGATTGAACATTGGCCAATTGCTTTGGATTGTCCTCCAGCATAGCCGTTAATGAGCACATTGCACGGCTCCCATTGGACTCCACATTGTTTTGCCTCAGTGTATCTTAGTGTTACAGCAGCACATCCGGTATCTATAAGGCCACTGCAAATAAGTCCATTAACCTTGCACGATACTACGTATTTATTTATTGATGTTTTTTCTGGTAAGGCCATTGCCATTACTTGTTTTGAAGTACCTGGTTGTTCCGCAGGTTTATTTTTGAAACAATTTCTTTCCATATGTCCCAAACGATGGCATTTTCTGCACTCTATACGTGGTTTGGAACAAGTAGTGGAAATGTGCCCTAAAGTTCCGCAATTGAAACATTTTGGACGGTGTTGATTTTCTTTAGGGGTGCCGTAGCTTTGTTTTGAAAATTTGTAAACAGGTTTACGATGCCTATTATCAACAAACGTTTTGTTGTATTTTTCCCGCACTGGGACCTGCGGACGTTCCACTGGACCCAACGCGGCTAAATATTCTTTGTATAAAACTTCTGGAGTTTCGTATCGCCCAGCTTTGGCACCATTTTGTATTACAGGGTCACTAATTCCATCGATAATCATGGAAACAGCATTTTTCTCAACTATACTGCACGATCTAAGAAGTTCATTTTTAGCAAAATAATATTCGGTCCAAGATTCCTCATTCAATTTTTTCCTCGAAATCATTTTCTTTAAAGTTGTTGGAAAGTCGCGGTGTTCAGGGAAAGCGTCCAAAATCATCTGCTTCCACTGTTTCCAAGAATTGTCGTAATTGTTCAAACTATTGTACCAGGATTTAGCTAATCCAGAGAGCCTTGCTTGCATGTGATATATAATCGTTGGCTCATCCCATCCATTAATCTTTGCCAGTTGGTCGATTTTGTCAATCCACATAGCCGATGTCAAATGGGGCATATCTGGGCTGAACTCAGGAATACAATCCGATTTTATAGTGATACGAGGGCTTTTAGCTACCCGTGTATCCATTAAGTCTTTGACCAGTTGTTCTAGTTGATTAATTTTTTGATTGGCTTCCTCCAAACCTGAAAACTGTACACTTGATGGTGTGGCTAGGCCATCTGTATCAACAGCAACCGGCATAGACGAACGTGGAGGAGTATGTGATTCAGGTGTTGGTGAAACGCGCCTTTTTCGTTGACGGCGAGATCTTCGATTCCTTTCATAACGGCCATAATCAGAACTGTCGCTCGAACTTGAACTTGACGAACTATGACGTTTGCGAGACGTTCTTGGCATTTTAAAATAGCTTAAAGTCTACTCCTACCTTTAAACAATGTCAAATATAATCCAAAATAAACTTTCTCACACCACAAAATCACAATCCAGCCAACTTATTTCTGGGACACCCTGTAGTTTTAATCAAATCACAAAAAGTATATAAACGTTCACAGTATAGCACGTGTACTATCCCACCGCTGCACTAATAGAAAAACACTCCAATAAAACTTCAAACGACCACTTTTAAAACCAATTATATTTTTAACACGATCCGATGACGATACAGATCTTGCTAAGACTCAACTAAGACTATCCTTATTTTTCTTTTTCATTTCAATATTTCTTTTAACTCTCTATCTACATATAATAAAGAGCTCTTTCTAATCTAAGTTATTACTTTTTTTTAAAACAACACTTTCAGTTAAACTTAAAGTCTACTCATATTTCATGCCGCTCCGAAAACAAGACCGTGGGTCTTGCAACCTCAGCTCGTTCCTTAATATCCTAATATATCGTCATCGGCCTTCGTCTGTTTCTTACATATGGGTAAAGTATGCTCAAACTCTACAGTTACCACCCTTTTGCAACCCTGATGATAAAGTTATTAATTCACTTAGGATTTTAACAGAAATTTTGCGAATATATCCAATTACAAACTCAACTAACTCCTGATTAGAAAATTTAATTTTGGTACCTTTTATAAACAGCAACTTCTCCCATGCATACTTACAATACAAGTCATACGAATCACTAGTTAGATTAACCGTTTTTTTAGATTTCTTTTGGTGGAAACAGTTCCTTAATTGCTGAATTAAAAGTATCCAAATCCCGTTGTTCGGGGTCCCGATTTTCAATCCAATGGGTCTCCTGACCAATGAGCCATCCCAAACCAATGAGCATCTCGACTTAAAACTTTTTGCACGTGCCACTAACTCACGCTCCTGCCATTTAAAGTCCTGTTCAAATTGTTCGATTTCACTACACATCAATAGCGCCAGAATCCGCACGTGTTGTTTAAAAAAAATGAAAATGCCACATTTTCATTTGCACGCCTCTGCGTCGTGGCGCCTAGAGATCCTTGAGATTAACGGAAAAATATTTCGCATTAACTCCGCGCGTCGCTGATATATTCTTTGATTGTGCCGACGCCGACATGTTATTAGTCTGTGGTTGTACCGACGCCGACGCTTCATTATTCAGTGGTTGTGGGCGAATCTCCACTTCCGATGATAAAAATTTGGATCAAATACTTAAGGCGACACCGTAGTCAAGGCAAGACTGAGCTCTGCCCTGGGCAACCGATCTCATTTTCCCACCGGTTCCCGATCTTGACAACGAACCTTCTTGATAAAAATTTGTTTAGAATGCAATAATTTATTAAACGCCGCTAACATATATTCTTTGGCGATACTCTCACTCCAGTCAATTGAGTCATAAAGTTTAGAACTGTTCCGCGCCATATGAAGGCACCAGGCTATCGCGCACAGCTCCTTTCAGAACCGTTCTCGAGTCTCGAGTAGCCCAGGGCGTAAACCTCTGGACCTTGAAATTTGCGAATGGAGGACAGCAATAGGGTTTTCCGCCCACTCGTCCCGTTACGTCGTCTATCGACGAGCGGGCAGAGGTTGCCATATTTCAGCCATAAAGCTCTTGCCGCGAGAAATAAACAAATTAACAACCTATATAGTTATTTGACTGAAATGATAAATTTGGGAACTTTATATTTTTTTTAATTTAATCATAAATTTTTCTTTGAAAAAATGACGGTAAAACAGTTTCCGGTAAACTTTTGGCAGAAAAAATTTCAAATTTATGATTTCAGTCTAATAACTATTTAGTCAACATGTTTAATTTATGTCAATAATGACAGGTATTGACAATTTCGATTTCAAATATATCGAGAACTATTACTCTTAGCGATTTTCATCAAGATACTTTTTTACGTAAAAAACGTCCTAAATGTATATTTTCTTATTCAGTAGTTATAATATCGAGGGGTGCCTCACTATTGGAATTACATGTACATTTTCTTGGCAGTCGCTGGCAGTCATTGGCAGTCTTACGGTAGTCACCTATAATAATTACATGGCAGTCGCTTGGAACTAGAATGATATTTTTGCAGTACATGTACATTTTTTACCCAAGTGAGACACCCCTCGTTATATATAAACTCACCGGCAAAAAAAACCGGCCACTAAAAACTAGACCCAATTTCAAAGTTGGATTTCTCGCGAACCACTCATTAGATTTTGATGATTTTTTTTTAAATTGTAAATTAATTCCTTTTTAACAGATGCTACATCAGAAATGTTTATTACGAATTTACTTTGAGCATATACAGGGCACAACAATAAGATTAAGTTTTTTGTCCGAACTTTGCAACACCCTGTAGGGTACAGCAGCGGTAGTAGCTATTGCTAAATTAAATCACATTCTAGCCTCATCTTTTATGAGCATTTTGTTTTTTTAATCACCACATTATCTCTTTTTGTATTGGAGATATGCTGTTTTAAAACGAACGTCTCGGAAAAATGCTTCGCAGGCAGAAAATTTTATGTGTAAATAATCAAGGCGATATAGGCGAAAACGGATTTGTGAGTATTTGCAATATGAAAAAAACGGTTGTAAAAAATGCCATCTGTACCGGATGTTGCTCGTATTGTGGCTTTAATTGAGGTTGGCCGAAGTCAACGTTAGTGTCTCCGATACCCTGGGTATATTTCGAACAACAGTCCAGGATGCCTGGGATCGGTATATGGAAATGGGAAATTTCACCAGGCAAGTGGACACTAGATATTAGTCCCTTAAAATTTCTTTAACTTTTTTGTAATTTTCATGCTTTAGTTAGTTTTCAGGTTAAACTTACCTACGTTCTGATATTTGATTTGTTTTTAAAGCTTTTTTCGAGGCGTTTGTTTTAAAGCAGCGTATCTCCAGTACAAACAGAGATAATGTCGTGATTAAAAAAACAAAATGCTCACATAAGATGAGGCTACAATGTGATTTGATTTATCTACTACAACGTCTGCACCCTACAGGTTGTTATAAAATTTAGGCAAAAAACTTCGTCTTGTTTTTGTGCCCTGTATATGTTCAAAATAAGTTCGGAATAAAAATTGCTGACGTAGCATCCGTTAAGAAGGAATTAATTTTAATTTTTTAATTTAAAGAAAATCATCAAAATCTAATGAGTGGTTCGCGAGAAATCCAACTTTGAAATTGGGACTAGTTTTTAGTGGCCGGTTTTTTCTGCCGGTGAGTGTAGATAAGGACGAAAAGTTATTACTCTTCATACCAGTTAAAAAATAAGTAGGTGGCGCTCTCTTCAAGTAGGAGTCATATTGACATCAAAATCAAATTTCTAATGTCTAAAAACTCCCAGACACAATTTTCATCCAAATATCGACAAAAAAAATAAAACAATAAATCACCACCATACATAACTTTCAACAAAATAACATTTCGTGTCTCCTCGTATAATAGACCTATTGGAACTTTCATTTTTAATTTAGAAAGAGATACTAATATTACAGTTGAGGGTTGGAACCTTGGGTGTTACACAGCAAAATAAAAACACTAAATCACCACAATACACCAAAACACTTTTACTTTTACACTGGACGCGCGTTTCGCTAACCATGTTAGCATCATCAGCAGATGATTATAAACTCAAAATATCAGTCTATCAACTCAGTTTATAATCATCTGCTGATGATGCTAACATGGTTAGCGAAACGCGTGTCCACGGTGTATTGTGGTGATTTATTGTTTTATTTTGCTGTGTAACACCAAAGGTTCCAACCCTCAACTGTAATCAAATATCGACGACAAAAAAAAAACAAAATAAAAATGAAACTTCTATATACACCCTCTATCTCAGAAACTAAGCATTTTAAGACATACATTTATACGAACTTTTTTACTTATTTTTATCTGCAGAATATGCTGCCGAAGTTTCTGGAATACAGATCAGGCCACCCTGTATTTCAGCATATTAATTGAAAAGCTTTCTTAAAGTTTTTGCGTTGCATATTATAAATTTCTTTAAGCAGATATTTAATTATTAACAGTTTAACTATAAATAAATAAATAATAAATAAACAATGCTTTATTGTACAAAAAGCCAAAATGGCTTCATCGACAAAACATTTACAAAACAAACAAAAGCACAAAAACAAATATGTATACAAATAATAAAAAATGTCATACAATACAAATCAATTCAAAAAAATTTACGACATTAAAATTACAAATAAAACATACATGGACATTGCAGAACACAGGCGTATCAATAAAATTTTACAAAAGGAAAATTGTAAATGAATAAAATCAGGTAAGAGTTATAAAATATTAAATACTAGACCTTTAACCATTGTGTGAGATGATCAAAATTTTAAAATTCAAAATTGTTCATGATTAAACATCAACAAAAAAGTCGTTTACCGCATATAGGGCTCTCTCCAGTAAGTATGATTTCAGAGCTTTGTGAAATGCGGGAAAGAATGAAAGTTACTTGATATTCAAAGGCAAAAAATGATTAATAAAAACGTTATTGTTGAATCAACAAATATGTTGCTAACAGAAATGTTTGTTGTTGTATGAACATCTCTAGATAGATTTATTTCTCTGCAGAGTTTGGAGGATCATGATATTTATAGCTTGATAATATGTATATCTGATATATTCACAAGATTCCATAATTGTCAGGAGAAGTGCAAGTCTTTTATTAACTGTAAATAATATTAAAATAACATATGAAAAAGTTTTTTGGGATTTGTTGTGGATGTCTAACGTGGAGATTACACTGTATATTTATAAAATATAAATTAAATTCGGCATACCTATTTTCTTCTAAAAAATCTTCAAAACATTTTATCTAAAAGTTAATTCATAAGCGTATATTATGCATGTGCTGAATCAATATTTGAGATATGGAGTAATTCTATGGGGTACAAGCTCTATGATTCAAGATATATTTATTATTCAAAACAAGATATTAAGATGCATTGCTCGAATTCCATGTAGAACTTTATTTAGAGAAAACAGACTGACTAGCTGACTATAATTTGTATTTTGTAAGTAGGCATTTGTGTATTTAAGAACAAGTCCAAATATTTTAATAAATGTCAAATTCTTGATTTTATCACTAGATTTAAGAACGATTTTCAGCAACCAACACATCGTATTAACAACCTATAACTCTCCAGATAGTATTGAATTAAAGATCTCGAATTTTTCTCGAAGATTTTTTTAAAAGATTAAATTAAAATGTGTACGTCATTAAATATTTTTAAAAGTAGGTTAAAAGAATTTTTAGTTAATAAAGTTCTTTATAGTTTAAGAGAATTTTTTGATTGATGTGTTATATATTATTTTTGTTCTTAGGTATTTTCCTTTATTATTTTTTTTACCAACTAATTTTCTACAGAATTTTGTATTGATATATCGTGATATTTTCGAACCCTGTTTCTCTGAGAATGATTTCAATCTATCATAGATTAAATTATATTTAAATTCTAGATTTGAAAGTGGAAAACCATTCTATCTATACACTGGTAGAGGACCCTCATCATCTTCAATGCATTTAGGACATCTAATACCTTTCACATTATGTAAATGGTTACAAGACGTATTTAACTGTCCTCTTGTTATTCAGTTGACAGATGATGAAAAAACTTTGTGGAAAGATCTGAAAGTTGAACAAGCCTATCAGATGGCTTTGGAAAATGCCAAAGATATTATTGCTTGTGGGTTTGACATAAATAAAACGTTTATATTTTCGGATTTTACATATATTGGGTAAGTTTATTCAGAAATAAAGATATTTTGTTGTATCTGGCAACACGGCTTTAGTAGGCATCTTGTCCGCTACGTTGCCAACATGTTTAGAAATTCTCTGGATCAATTTATATTAATTTAGTCTCTCACTGTTTTTGTAGCCAAAGGCCGGAATTCTATAGAAACATGATCAGAATTCAAAAATGTGTCACTTTCAATCAAGTAAAGGGCATTTTCGGATTTGATGATAGTTCGGTGATAGGTAAAATTGCATTTCCAGCTGTTCAAGCAACTCCTGCGCTATCGACGTCGTTTCCAGATATTTTCGGAGATAAGAAAATTCCTTGCTTGATTCCATGTGCCATTGACCAAGATCCTTACTTTCGAATGACCAGAGATGTATGTCCTCGAATAGGTACAGTTTATAAGTTAATTTTGTATTCATCTGTTAATTACCTAGATCACATACACTGTTGTTGATAAAACTACCTATTGAGATGATTTTCTATTATTTGTCTTTTTAGGCAGGATTTAGCTTTTAGATTAAAATAGAAATAATTTGTTACTATTAATGTGAAAAAATTAGAAGGTCATTTATACAATTATTTTTCAGGTTTTGACAAGCCCGCCTTGGTTCATTCTAAGTTTTTCCCAGCTTTACAAGGTGCAAAGACAAAAATGTCTTCATCTGAAGCGAATAGTACGATTTTTATGAATGACACACCCAAACAGCTTAAAAACAAAATAAATAAACATGCATTCTCTGGCGGACAAGCGACAGTCGAGGAGCACAGAAAACTAGGAGGAAACTGTGATTTAGACATTTCGTACCAGTATTTAAGGTACAAAAAAATAATTTTAATGATTAATAAGAGAAAACAATAACGCGCTACTGCCTTCTCGCTTTCATTTTTTTTTTATTTTCTTTCAGTTAACAGACAACTTTTCTAGTTTAATGGTTCTTTGTCTCCACATCAATGTTTGTTTTTTTTTCTCAGATTTTTCTTAGATGATGAGGCAAAACTCGAGCAAATCAAGAACGATTATACCAGCGGAGCCCTACTCACCGGAGAACTAAAGAAAATACTTCTAGATACTTTAACTCCAGTCCTAACAACGCATCAAGAAAACAGAGCTAAAATATCTGATGAAATACTACAAACTTTCATGACACCAAGAAGTTTATGCTGACTTTAGATACTTGTTATTTTTTTTTGACTGTTAGGAAAATACATTGCAAAGTGGCTTAATTTTTTATCATATAATAATATATTTATTATATAGTGTTTATTGGGGTCAACTTTTTTAGTTAATCCTAAGGACTTTTTTCAAAGTTGCTATTATCACGATCATGAGAATAATCCAAAGATTCAGTTATCTGAATCTTTATACCTGTGTTAAACACAATGTACTACTAGTAAAGTATTTGTTATTTATTTTAAATTATTATATTTTTCTTAATTTATCATTAAACTAATATTTTTAATTTACATATATTTTTTATTTTATGCTTTAATAAATTAACAATCATAATAATTATAAATTCTATGTGCTAATTTGATGACTTGGGAGCAATGGCGCTCAGCTAACCTGATGAGGTCTTTTCCAACGGAAAATCCTTAAAATCCTTTCAAATTAGATGGCCATTGTCTTTTAAATCTTGTAGATATTGTAAGTAGAGGCTGAAGTAAGTTATTCGTGTGATTATGTAGTCTATTGAAATGTTTTTTGCTCCAAGCTTGGAATACTTTCACGTACGGAATTTTTAAGTCTTCATGCAGAATATGATTACATACCATACACATTACATACATGACATACCATAGTGCGTCTGTTATCATCCGTAGAATTTTGGATTGACTCTTTTGTATTAAGGCTTTGTATTAATCCCCCGAGTTCTGCTCCATATGTCCAAATAGGTATTTTTATAGTTTTATACAGGTTATACAGTGTTTCAAAAAACATACCATCTCTCATGGAGATATTCCTCACGTAAAAATATGACATATCAGCTTCGTATATTATATCATAAATAGGTCCGATTCTGGTTTGTTTCGTAGTTGCAGGGGGTTAGAGTCTAAGGTAAAAGTCTTAATTGTTTTTCGATTTATTATTATTTTCTTCCAAGTGTCATAGCGATTCGAATGAAATTTTGAGAGTAACATTTACTAAAGTGCGACATATTTTAATGCTAATAAAGTGTCGATATATTTGCTAGGGACGTGCATATGGGTTATCACTAGAATTTTTTTTAAGAACATGTGTGCCACTGACTTTTGATTATTAGATTGTTAGCAAAATTGTTTAGGCCGTTTAATGCCGATTTTCTATCTCTGTGATGAGATATACGCAATTTTATTAATCACAATTAAAATAAAATTAATAAATAATCTATTTAATCTAATTTATTATTAAATTTTATAACACTGATGTTTACTGAGGGAACTAATAATGAGGAAAGTTATGGAAGACTACAACGGCGGTATCACTATAGGCGGTAAACAGATAACAAATTTAAGGTACGCAGATGATGCACTTATACTCGCATCCTCCGCTAATGAATTAAAATCCATTATGCTCAAATTAGAGGTGGTCAGCGAGAGATATGGGTTAAAACTAAATAATAGAAAAACAAAATTAATGATTATCGAGAACCCACGAATACAACAGGAATAGCAGGTTTCGAAGTTGTAGATCAATATATATTATATATCTCGGCTCCTTGATATCAAACAAAGGAGAATGTGACGCAGAAGAAGAAGACTGTACATAGCACGTAATTCCATGACCAAACTCAATAAAATATGGAAAGATTCAGCTATTTCAATTAGCAACAAACTCAGACTACTAAGAGCCCTAATTTTCCCCATTGCCACTTATGCCTCAGAGACCTGGACATTGAAGTTGGCAATGAAACGTAAAATCGATGCTTTTGAAATGTGGTGTTATAGACGGATGCTGCGAATACCGTACACAGCTCACGTACAAATATTTCAATACTAGAACAACTGAATATCGAATCTGGACTGTCGATATCAATAAATCAGTCATACTTAGGATACTTTTGCCACATATCTAGGAACACCAATGGCCTAGAAAAACTAATTGTGGAGGGAAAAGTGAACGGGAAACGTCCTAGAGGGAGATCTCCAAACCGTTGGGTGGATCAAATGAAGACAATAATAGGTCATAGTCTGCACGAGGCCAGTACTGCTGCGCAAGACAGAACATGGAGAGACATAATAAATGCGATATCATAATGTCACTATACTCTTATAGAGTAATAGCACATAATATCTAGCTACGCAACAGAAGCCTCGTTACATGTAAAAAATCGTAGGTCTCAAAAGGAGACAGGCTTTTAAAGCCTGTCTCCAAATCAGCTATTTTGATGCGGTAGTTTCACTACTACATAACAGAGGGCGATAAATTTAAAAGAAAACAGTTTTCTACAAACGAAATTTAAAAGAATTTTATGCAGTGTTGCCATTGTGTAATTTATAGTGTAATACTTCCTGATAAAGCCTACGTTCAAATTTGCTACATCATTTAAACATATTAAAATAGATTAGAGCTCTTTTTTCAAACGTTTAAGTATTTAACTTGCCATGTTAGTTGGAGTTAAATCTTACGAGCTGAATTAAAATCACTTCCTGACGTTTGATTCTAACTGAATCCTAAATTTTGATTGTAATTCGGCGACAATATAATAAATATTGTTGCGGGCCGGTGTGGACTCGACCTAACCTCACAATATGGCCCGCCCTCGGATGACCTTAACATCGCATAGACACCGCAATGATTCATTCGTTCGAGAAGAATCGAGTCCCACTGGAATGGACTAGTACATACGAGAACATTCGAAAACCTTCTCTACGCACCTAACGATCTATGGACAATTCTAGAGTTCTTTACCTGCCGGTATAAAAGCCGGCGGCCGTGGCCTACAGGGGCAGTTATAAATATACCAGTGCAGTTGACGCGCTAAAATTCAAAATAAATTCTTAGTTATAAATCGTTTGTAAATAGTTCTATAAGTCTTTTATCGTTATTGTTTTTGTTAATTAGTGTTAAATAAATAGTGTTTAAATAAATTGTGACTTTCTATCCACACGGAACCGACGAAAAACGTAACAATATTGTTCTACTATTATGACACCACTTCCTGTCGTTCGATTGTGTTCATACCGTATGATCGGGAAAAAACGGCGTTAGCGATGGCTATGAAATGAAAATCTAAAAAATAAATTTATATGGGAAATGTCATCGATCGCCTTTTCCCAGCCAACTGGACGCCGTTTTTTTCGGTATCATACGGTATTTGATATATACTTGCACATTTTTCATGACATTGCAATATTATGGTACCATGAAGCATATCAAGTGATACCGTAATATAGTACCATATTACGATACATGGCGTTCGATTGGGCTTAAACTTGGTATATTACGTATCTTCAGTGACATTGTAATATTATGGTACTATGAAGCATATCAAGACGTACCATAATAGTACCATATACGATACCATTTCCTGGCGTGCGATTGGACTTATACTTGGTATAGTAAGTATCTTCTGTGACATTGTAATATGATGGTACTATGATGCATATAAAGTGGTACCTTAATATAGTACCATATTACGATACCACTTCCTGACCTTCGATTGGGCTCATATTTGACTATACTTGCGTATTTTTGATGACATTACAATATTATGGTACCATGAAGCATATCAAGGGGTACCATAATGTAGTACCATATTACGATACCATATATATTTTTGATGACATTGCAATATTATGGTACCATGAAGCATATCAAGGGGTACCATAATAGTACCATATACGATACCATTTCCTGGCGTGCGATTGGACTTATACTTGGTATAGTAAGTATCTTCGGTGACATTGTAATATGATGGTACTATTATGCATCTACTATGATGCATATATAAAGTGGTACCTTAATATAGTACCATATTACGATACCACTTCCTGACGTTCGATTGGGCTCATATTTGATTATACTTGCGTATTTTTGATGACATTGCAATATTACGGTACCATGAAGCATATCAAGGGGTACCATAATGTAGTACCATATTACGATACCATTTCCTGGCGTTCGATTGGGTCCAAATTTGATATACTTGTGTTTCTTTATAAAGATTTGTTTAATTAATAATTTTAATTTATTTTACGAATTTTAATTTATTGTACGATGTCGTGACAGCAACTTTTATGTCGAACTAATATATTATTAATTGTACCTGTGTCACTTTTTAAAATCTACCTAGGTCTATATAAATAACATGGCAAACAGAACAAATTTGTTATTATAGTATGTTTTTTAGTCAATTAACATTTTTTGTACTGCATTTTAATAAATCATTTCCATTATTATTAAACATATATTTCATTACTAACGTTTCAGCATTAATAAATATCACTATCAATCGCCCTGTATATTATTAATTTTAAAGGTAATTAATGTTACGTGCCGTCGATCTACGTCTATCCAAAACCGAAAGTTGAAAATTTCCAATTATATTCTGATTATGATATTGTCGCGCCATCTAGTATTTTATTTGTGCAATTTTAGCTCTTTCATTTCGAGTATTTTTCTGTTGCGTAGCTAGATATTCTGTGGTAATAGGAAGGAGGAGGAGGAGGATGTTTACTGCTACCTACAGCAAATTTCAATTAAAAAAATTGGCGCCGGGAGGCACGTATAGCCGCCCATACTAAAATATGTTAATAAAAAGTTGGTAGGCAGTTCTTTTAGTTTCAAAGTAAAGGAATTTTTCCAATTTTTTTTATCAAAAACTGCGACTTTGACTGATTTTGATGATATTACAAATTTTGTTGCAAATATTATTCCTAATCGTAAATTGAAAACCGCGTTTTGCTAGCTACTGTAATTTTGGAGTTACGATTTTTTAGAATTTTTAACCCCCCCCCTATCCATATCCCCTTACCAACCCCCCACCCCGACCAAAAACTAATAGCCAGATTCTCGGGTGCCACAGTATTTTTGTGCCAAATTTGGTTAAAATCAGTTTACCGATTTTTGAGTTATCGTGTTACAGACGGACAGACAGATGCCATGAAAATGTTTTGTATTTAGGTCATTTATGACCAAAATAACTCATTTTGACTGAAATTAAAAAAAACTTTGCCGATCTTAATAGCCTACCATACCTGTTGGTATGGTCGGGTGAAAACCCATATGCACGTCCCTGGTGGTATCTGTTATCCCAAAAATTTCATTCGAATCGCTAAAATCACTTGGAAGAAAATTATAAAAAATCGAAAAACAATTAAGACTTTAACTCCATATAACTACGAAACAAAGCAGAATCGGACCTACGTTGATATAAACAATAAATCTTATTTTTTCGTGGGGAATCTCCCCTCCTGAGATGGCATGTATTTTTTGAAACACCTTGTATAAAAGAAGTTTATTCTCTAGCGATAGTTTAGATCTTCTTCCTGTTAACCAAGATACGTTTTTTTTTCAAATCCATTTGCTTACGTTTCTTTATTATGTGTTCTTCCTGGTAAATTTAGTATCCAAGTGCATACCTAAGTAATTGGTGGAGGAAGACTACGGAATTAGTGTGTTGTTTAAATATAATGGGGTGGGGAAGGGGGAACTGGTCTCTATTTAAAGTAAATAAGGTTACTTGTTTCACTTCAAAAAATGGATCTTTTAGAGAACCAATACATGTAATAATGAAATAAAACTGCTTTTTATAGAAGAATAAAACTGCATTTTATAGAAGAATATTCGTTTATTATATTTATAACAATTATGGTTTCTCCTTTAATGTAAAATCTTATAAATTATTTACAATAACAAACTTGTAACCTATTAATTATAAAACTTATTACGAATCTTATATTGGCGTATATATTTACAAAATATTCAAATAAAGATGGTTCAGAATAGAAAAAATAACTTAAATTTGCCAACAAAAAAATTCTGATACAAAAATATTATCTTTTGTAAGAATTTTGATTGTCATTTATTTAAAAAAAAGTTTTACAGTGCGTTTATAGCTACTAAATACTGATATTTATCAATAACCTGGCATTCATAAACTGTCAAACTATAGACAACTGAATAGATCCTATTTTGAGTCATCTATAAAACTATTACTTAAAAATACCGTACTTACGTTTATTATTACGTAATTACCTTAGTAAACTATTTTAGTAAAAAGAAAGCACCAACCTTATTCAGAATATAATGTAAATTTTTCCATTAAAATTAACTAATATTCTTAAAAACCTTTTTTCTACCGAAATAAAATTAAAATTATTCTAATATCTTCTTATCCGAATTTTCTTTAATAAAAAAACAGTTGTTCCTAGTAAAACAACTTATAAGTTTATAATATTAATAATAACAGTAAAGTCAGCATTATTATTAATTTAGGTATTTTTTATTTCTAAAGCACAGTTAGTAGTAAAAAAAATTATTTAAATAATATATTGTACTTTTAAAATGGCTATCAAAAACTACTAATATATTATTAAAACACAATTTTGTTTCTAAAACATCAGTAAATAAAATAAGAATTCTCGATTTTTTTCTTGGAATGCCAAAATTAAAAACTTACGACCTTTTCAGTTTCAAACTTTCAGTGATTTTACTAGGACAGAACTTAATAATTTAGGCTTGGGCTTATGTCAATACTCAGCATCTCTATTGGTTTTAGGACGCTGAGTCTCGATACTAAGACGTTAGTACCATAACGCTGTGTATCAAAGTATAGACATTCTGAACCCTATCTAATAATAAAAATTAGGCGGAGCCGAATTTATTGCTCAGTATCGATATTTAGTATCAGAGTACTGGTATGCAGAAACTCAGTATCGATACTCAGAATCTAAGCATCAATACTCAGTTTCAGCAAGATTTTTTATATATAACATCAAAGCAACAAAAATTCTTTTGATATTTGCTGTATTTGAGATTTAGATACTTCACATAAAGTATCCTGAAAAGTTGAACATGTAATAAGTTCAATAAAAAATACGTCCAAGCCAAATTATAATAAAGATAGTAATAAATCTAATAATAATTGCCGAAATGTGAAAACCACCGAAAATATCACAAGTTAGTCGAGTCTAGGGTTTTGTAGGAATATTAAACGTTACTACGCCATTTTTGGTTGGCCTCTGTTCTAGCATCGGGTACAAGTTGACTCTGGACTCCCCCCAGGAAATTTCCAGTAGCTTCTGTAGCGATCACTATTGGTTTGATTACAGTGGCGGGGATTTGTCTGATTACCGCCCCCACCGCGCCGCTTATTCCTTTCTGTTCTTTCTCTAGAGTGGCCACTTGGAATATATTGTCTGCAGTTTCTCCAAAACCCTTTAAAAAAGATAAACAATTGAATGACAAAGGACTAATATCAGTAATTTTTTTTTGTACTACTGTTGTTGTGTGGATATAGTAATGCTGCTCAGGGTTCGGAAGTAGTTAACTAAGACGTAATTTACCTGATTAACTACGTGTAGTTTTTCTTCAAAAACTACGTCTTTTCCCGTTCATTAACTACATGAAAACTACGTTAATAAACTATGCATTGATATTATGGATAATTTTCCTTTGTATGAGGTGTAATAGAGATAATATGATGTAAATATTATATTTAAAGCCATATTTCTTCTGTTTTCTTAAATACCTTATGTGTTTTTAAAGCTTCAACTTATTATAACCTCACCTCAAACCTTTGACATTTGAAAGTTACATACATAGGTTACATAAACTACACCCTCTACATAAACTACATTAACTACATGTAATGTAGTTTATGTAGTATTTAAAAGTAACATGTAGTTTTCCGAACCCTGAACTGTTGTAAGGAAAATAACGAAATAAAAATTCATTTAGATGTATGAAGACTAGATATAATTATTTTTCCATCTATAAAAACCTAAGGCAATAAATAAAAACAATGTCATATGATGCAAACATTATCTAGGACACCATATACCGATAAACAGTCAATATATGTCATTATTGACAAAAAATATACATGTTGAGTAGATAGTTATTTGACTGAAACGATAAATTTGAGAACTTTTTTTTTAATCAATCATAATTTTTTCTTAGAAAAAATGATGATAAAACAGTTTCTGTTGAACCTTTGGCACAAAAACATTTCAATTTTATGATTTCAGTCTAAGAACTATTTAGTCAACATGTTTAATTTATGTCAATGATGACAGGTATTAATCATTTTGATTCCAAATATCTCGAGAACCAATATTCGTAGCGATTTTTACCAAGAGATCTTTTTTATGCAAAAAACGTCGTAAATGTATATTTTTTTACTTAATAGTTTTATACAGGTACGGACAAAAAGTTATTACTTCAAACCAGTTAAAAAAATGGAGGTGGCGCCCTCTACAAGTAGGAGTCATATTGACATCAAAATCAAATTTCTCGTGTCAAAAAACTCCCAGACACTAATTTTCATCCAAATATTGACGTTACTGCAGAAATGATTTGGAAAAAATCGAAAAAATGAAACTTCTACACCCTGTATCTCCGAAACTAAGCATTTTAGGAAATACATTTTTACAAACTTTTTTACTTAGTTTTATCTGCAGAATATGCTGCCGAAGTTTCAGGAATGCAGTTCGGACCACCTTGTATTAAGCTTAGATATATTATCTTTATTTCAGTAGTATTTTTATTCTTTACCCTGTATACACACGTAAAAACCGGCAACATTGTATGCCGCTTTTTATTTTGCCTTTCTATCTGTCAATTGGTCATTAAGTCTATTAATTAGCGTCGTACAGTGTAGATGTGTGTTGAGTCATCAGTCTAGCAAGTAGATCAAACGCAGTGATCGATTTTTAAAAATCTATTTACGAAAAGTATAAATTATACAGAGTATCATATATTACATATATACATTGATTTTATAATGGCATATGAACAGGGCCGACGAGAGGGCGTTGAAGGCGATACAAATTATCGGGGCCCGAGACACAAGGGGGGGCCGGGCCTGGGCATCTTTTTATTTTATAAATTACAAATTATTATAATCATATATTTTTATTTGGGTATTAATTTTTATTATTTTTATTTGAGTATTAATTCAACGATTATTCACAATTTTAAATATTGTGATTGAACAAAGGCATAATGTCGTGTCGCGTCGGCAACAACGCTCTTAGAACAATAACGCCTGTATAGAATATATAATAATAACGCCTGCTCTTAGAACAACAACGTCTGTATTTTTAGGAATTTTCCGTGCGGCCGTAATCGTTTATTTGTTCATTTGTTGTCTCGTTGTTGTAATGGCAGCAACATGAGCGGGCAATATAAGGGTGTACAAGCAAGAATTCTGGCCATGAATCCCCTTGCCTTATGGTTTCCTTGCGCTTGTCATAGCCTAAACTTATGTGGTGTCCATGCAGCAGAATTTTGTTTTCAGGCTGTAACTTTTTTTGGAATAATTCAGAAGCTCTTTAATGTATTTAGTGCCTTTCAAGGTGGGAGATTTTAAAAAATAAAATTGACGTCTCTCTTCATTCCCTTTCAACGACTACCTAGGGTAGAAAGTGGAAAACCAGTAAGCGAAAAACTACCTGCAATAAAGGATGCAATTGCAGAGCTATTGGAGCTAAATTTATCAGCAGAAGTACGGGTTGAATTAAATGGAATTTTAACTTATTTGGACTCGTCTTCAAATGGCTTCAACGTGACTAAAAGTACTTACCGCTATTAATTATAGAAATGTTATTCTCTAGGCAATGTCAGCTACTTTGGACATTGAGACTAAAAATCTATAGTAAGTTCATTGCTAGAAGATCTTAATCTTATAAGAAATAGTTGGGCAAATATTTTAAATGAATGTAAACTAGTAGCCAATAATTTAGGCATATCAACCGAGCTAACTACATCCGAGAAAAGAAAACGCAAAAGAAAGGCTTTTTTTGATGAAACAGTATCAACTGATTCATTAGAAGGGCTTGATAAGGAAGAATATTTTAAAATAAAAGTGTTTTATTCAATTTTAGATGCTTTGATTTAAAATATTTCGGCCAGATTTGAAGCAGCTAAAAATATTGTTGACATTTTTAGTGTGTTATTGAGATTTTTAAGTTTAGAGGATATAGAAATTGAAGAGCCGGGCCCGTATTCTGTAACTTTGAAAACGCTAAGCGCTTTTAGACGCTCAGCGTATATGACGTTAATTTTCGCTGAGCGCGCACTTAATTAACGATTTCGGTATTCTCGTCTGACGCGCTTAGCATCTTTACTGATTGCGCTGAGCGCTTTGAAAACGGTTGCCTTAAAGGATCGTTTTGTTTGTCGAATTGTCAGTGAAAATCGAAAAAATTGTGATTTTGTGCGTTATCTTGCTCTTTAGTGAAAATTACTACTTCTTCTATAAATTCCTCAATAACTAATTGATAATTTACGACTTGGCAGCTATAAATATTATTCAAAACATCGAAAATACTGAGAAGAGTCTTCAACACTTCCCTCGTATAATAAGAATAATCATGGGCGATGTTAGGAGGCGGCTTGGGGGTGCTAAGCCCCCCCTATTCCTGAATTAGCCCCCCCAGACCGAACTAGCCGACACAACAAATAATTGAACATTATTGGTACTCAGACAAAACCAAAAATAAAAAATACTTTTCTGATTTGATCTGTAAAAATTGCAGGGTTGGAAAAAATCATGATTTTTTAAAAAAATCAGATTTTTTTTTTTTTTTTTTTTCCTAATGACTAGGACTTATTTCCAGTTAAAGTCCTATCCTAAATGGCTAAATCTTTATAACTCGTTATCGATAACATTAATAATTCTAGGGTGCGTTTTGTCATTTTTCCACATCGGTCACCAATATATTTCGCAAAAAAGTCGCTCGCTTCAGATCAAAAGGATTTTTTTTCAAACGTCTCAAAAGTATTAAGGTTTGTCATTTTAACGCCTAGGTATAAAAGTAAAGCACTGTTACGCCTAAGCACAAAAGTACAAAAATATATTATTAAACAAAAAAAAAGTAAAAAGAGCGTACAAATTGTTGCTCGATTGCTGTTTATATTATTTACAATGTTTGAAATTGATTAAAAATGATTTGTAATGTTTTAAAAAAATTGTATGTATGTTATATTAGGAGTAAAAATGTACTTTTTGTGCTTCCTTATAACGTCAGAATAGCTTTACGATGGTCCTTCAAAGGTCAATTCATCATCAAAAAATGTATAATTTTTACTCACTAATAAAACTCTTACTTACTAATAAAACAATACATTATTGTTCGGAAATACTCTTAAGTTGAGAATGAAATTAGTATTATCTAATGTCAAAGTGTCAAATACTTACTCCAGATCAAACTGTCGGTAAGAATTTGGAAAAATACAACCAATTCAAAAAAAAAACAAAAAACATATTTCCTGACGATTATTATAGACTAGTTGAAGCCTGGCGCATCCGCCACGACATCAGAAAAAAAAATACTTTTATTTAAATGAAAAACAAAAAATCCGGCGACGACAGTTTTTAGAAGAGCAAATTAGCTATCTTTTAGTAAAAAAAGCAACTTTCTAGAGCAAGTCGTTACTTCAGTAGAGACGACACAGATAAACATTAGCATTTTATATATGTAGATTCTCGAGAATGAAGATATAGTCTCTATATCAGAAGAACCTAGTTCTGCACTAGACTGCGAATGATATGTATTCGAACAGCGAATTTTTGTCACTTATACATAAATTTTAAAATAAATCCCTGCGTTTAGCGGTCTAATGAATTCACACGAAATTACTTCAAAAATTGGTCCAACATTTAAATTGATGAATATATATTTTTATATAGTTTTATAACATTTACAATTACTATTTGATTTATTATCTGTTATATCTTTTATAGAAATATTTTTTATAGTTTTCTAGGACACATTTTTATAACTTTGACAGCTATTTTTTGATTTATAATAAAGTTTTAATAAAATTATTTTTTTTATTTAAATCAATGATTAAAATTAAAAAAATCATTTGATTTAAATCATGCCAACCCTGAAAAATTGTATAATTTTTAGTTTCGACTCAGTAGCGAATGCGAAATTGAAGCGAAATTGGCAACCAGGCGTAACGGGAATTGTGCCGATAAAGAAAGCGATAAACAGGGTTGCCACCTTTCGTATTTAAAATCGGAACAACACTGGTGAAACATTTTTTCTTAAATGTAAAATTTTATGTACAGTACGTCTGTCCGTTCTGTGGCTACGGGGTATCCGTGAGAGGGGAAACGATATTCTCTCGTAAAAAATTAGACGACGCGTCCCATCAATAAAAATTCAACAAATTTGCAAGTAGCCAATAAAATGAGTGGGCGGAGC